TGACCCACACCCATCCCTTCACATCCAATGATGGAGCTTCTTACCAAATCAATGGTAAGATAGCAACATCTAAAGGAGGAGGAAAAAACACTAAAGACCATTGAGTAGGTAGGTTGCTCCTAGTTGCTCGCTTGCTCACAATAAAAACATTTTATACACAACACTTTCATTTTGAAACATTTTCAAAAGACAACACTTCGTATGAGTTCTTATAGAGACGAAAATCATTACAAAGACACCTTTTCAAATTCAATTTCAAAAACAAGCACTTCTTTGAACTATTTTCCAAACAACACTTTGTATGCGTTCTTATAGAGACGAGAACCATTACAAAGGCACGTTTTCAAAATACTTTCAAAACCACACCATAAAGCACACTTCAAAACAAAAGCAAGTGATCTAGCAAGCAACTAAGAGCCCGTAGATAACTACGGATGAAAAGGATGCTAATACCTTCCCTTTTCATAACCTTACCCCCCCCCCCCCCCCCGAACTCAAGAAAATAATCTCGAAAGGTCTTTCCTGTTCTTTTCAGCCTTTCCTTATTGGATAAAAGAAAAGTCGATGGCGACTCTTGCTATCCGCAACAATTGCGATAAAACACAAAACATCCCAAGTCAGTTCTCCCACCGTGTTACAGAACTGGAGACTCTGCTGGGGAAACCCCATGGCACGTTGTCATTCGTAGCTTGAAGGTAGAAGATGATTGAACAGATGCCGACTCTTATGAAGAGAATAAAGATGAACGATATCTGGTTTGGTTCCAGATTCAATAGCAACTCTTAGGGGATGGTGGTTCAGACTCCTCTTTGCTGGAGATGGGAATCTTGCCGGAATTTAGAGAAATAGACTCAGACTGGGGAGACTGAACTTTGCTAGGGAAATAAACCCTGTTGGGGAAATAAACCTTAAACTGGACGAAGAAATATTCTGCTGAGGAAATAAGCTCTGCTGGAGAACAGAAATATGCATGGGTTTTTACACTTTTGGAGGAATAAACTCAGATGGGGAAGAGAATTTCCATAAACTATACTAACGCCATAATCTCCGATGGAGATTGGAATTCCATTAGGTTGGCGACATTGTTGGGAAAAAGATCATATTCCTTTATCCGCTAGGGTGATTTGTTGGTGAGTATAATTAGGTTAATTTAGCCTTGCCAGGAATGTATCTTTGTTAAAAATGAGTTTGTTAAGATGACTCTGTGAGGATAATCCCGTGAGGATCTTTCTGTAGGGATACATGGACGACTTGAACATTATCCCGACTCCTAGAGTCTTGAGCAAATGCTTATTCATGTTTTTACGCACATATTTGTTTAAGAATTAATCATATTCATATGCATAGGTTCATTCAATTTTAGTCATTGTACATTTTCTGTAAACCAAACAGAAAAGGTAAAACAAAAAGTTTGAATTTTGAAATTTGTATTTCTATTGATAGTTTGCCCATAAACAGGCGGTTTTATACAAAGAGACATAAATCCTAGTAAGAGGAAATCGTCGTGAAATAAAGAGAGTATAAAGTGAAAACAAAATAATAGTTATGTGGAAATAATCTCATCGGGTTCCAACTCTGCTATTGCCCCTATGTCTTCAAGCATCTCGTTCCTTGATGTCAGAAGAGGTTGATTGGATTGATCTGCACCATTCGAACTTGAAGTTGATAATAAAACTGGTTGTGAGTGATCCAACGGGACATAGTTGTACGCTTTAATCCCAAATTTTTTCCTGGACCGCCCTTTCGGTTTTTCAGTCCACCAGGATACCCTTTTTTGCCCAAGTCGCCTTTTCAGGTTTTCGACTTGCCGGGTGTAGAATTATATATATATATATATATATATATATATATATATATATATATATATATATCCCTAATTTTTGCCCGGACCCTTTTGGTTCACCGGGACTCCCTTATTTTTGCCTAGGATAGTCAATCTAGCAGGTTGTTTTCATGCGTAGTATCTTTTGACTATGTCTGCATTCACAGGGTGTGGAAAATCCTCACCGTCCATGGTTGTAAGTATCATAGCGCCGCCTGAAAATATCTTCTTACCTAAAAATGGACCTTCATAGGTGGGAGTCCATTTTCCCCTGTGATCACCTTGTGGTAGAATGATGCACTTTATTACCAAGTCACCAGCCTGATATACTCGATGCTTGATCTTCTTATTGAAGGCTTTGATCATACGCCTCTGATACATATGACCATGACAAACAACAGCAAGCCTTTTCTCGTCAATCAAATTCAACTGATCCAGCCTAGTTTGAATCCATTCGTCTTCATCCAAATCTGCATCCTTCATAATTCTCAAAGAAGGAATTTGAACTTCGACAGATAGAACAACTTCCATACTATAGACCAGAGAGAACGAGGTTTCCCTAGTTGGAGTTCATGCTAAAGTGTGATATCCATGAAGAGAAAATGGTAGCATCTCGTTCCAGTCTTTGTAGGTCACAATCATCTTCTGTATAATCTTCTTAATATTCTTGTTGGCGGATTTTACTGTGCCATTCATCTTTGGTCGATACGGAGAAGAGTTGTGGTGCTTGATCTTGAACTGTGTGTAGACTTCAATGATCATAGTGTTGTTAAGATTAATACCATTGTCTGTAATGATTCTCTCAGGGATGCCATACCGACATATAAGGTTATGCTTGATGAATTGGGCCACAACATTCTTGGTAACAGAGGCGAACGAGGCTGCTTCAACCCACTTTGTAAAGTAATCAATGGCGACGAGGATAAAGAGACGTCCATTAGAGGAAGTGGGTTTTATCTCTCCAATCATGTCAATGCCCCACATTGCAAACGACCAAGAAGCAGTCAAAACGTTCAGAGGTACTGGAGGCACATGTACTTTATCAGCATAGATTTGGCATTTGTGACACGTTCTGGAGTGATGATGGTAATCAATTTTCATGGTCGACCAATAGTATCCCTCTCTCAGGATTTTTTTAGCCATAATATGTCCACTGGAATGAGTAGCGAAGATACCTTCGTGCATATCTTCCATAACCTTTTCTGCTTCTTTCTTGTCCATACAACGAAGCAAAGTCGAATCATGATTACGCTTGTATAAAATTCCGTTGCTCAGGAAGAACTTAGCTGAGAACCTCAGTAGAAATTTCTTGTCATTGGTAGATGCCTCTTTAGGGTACTCTTGAGCCTCAAGGTATATTTTCACATCATGAAACCAAGGCTTTATTTCTACTCTGTCAGTGTCAATTTCATAGCAGTGTGTCGGTTCGCCTAATCTTTCGATGGTAATTCTGGGAGCCTCATTGTCCTATATGACCTTGAACATAGATGACATGGTAGTTAATGTGTGCGCCAACTGATTCTCCTCTCTTGGCATGTGTCATATCCCAATTTTTGACCTAAGATCCCATCTTCATTTGCATTTTTTATATATACATCAAGGTCACGAAATATGATCGATTTCGAACTTCTCACCTATGAGCATTGCCTGTGCAGAGATTATTGAGTGTATGTTTTTTGTTTCTTTGATTTCATGTGCAGAAAACAGATCTGAATCAAGAGCACAAGGCGTCACGCCTCGATTAGAGTTTTGAGTCTCTCAAGCCAGAAGTACAGTTGATCATTGATTCTCAAAGACTGATTCACCAAGGCATAACTTCTAACCTCAGAGCATGGAGTCTCGAACATCGTTCAGGCTCATTTTGATCACGGATGTCTCAAGTGTGATAGCTTTTTAGGGAACTTTCAGACAATTGTGCGTTTATTTCCATGCTCTGTTCAACAATTGGCCTCAAGCGTCTCCTAAATTATTCATAAAAAAAATCAAGGTTCCATTACCATTGTTTCATGTGTGTTTTACCTTACCTTGAAATACAAGAAAAACCAGGCTATGCAAGTCAATTCAAAGCACTTCGACTAAAAGTCATCTGCAAGTTTTCTTTAAAAGTTAAAGACAAACTGTGTTCAGAAAGCCATGAAAAGCCTTTATAGGACGTTTGTCATGATTTAAGAGTTTCTGGGTCTCTAAGTTCTGTTCACAGTGCCAATTCCTCAATGCGATAACATTTCGCCTCAAATCCCTCTTCTAGTGATCATTTGAAGCTTTTAGGTATGGTTCGATTTCTTATACTTACTTGACGCGGGGTGAGTTTTGTTAGAGTGGGGTGATTGAATTCAAGATCGCTTTGGAAGAATTTATTTATAATACTTGGAATTCTCATCATTTGAATTCAAGTGTTAACTAAATAGAAGTTATCAAAAGGGCTCATTCAAGAATAATCGTTCATCACATTAATATTTATTCAAGATTATTTTTGTGTGATTAATTTGATGGATTCACACCATGGCCATTTGAATTCACATGATGAATTTATTAAAGGAGATATTGAAAAGAGAAATTTGATTCAAAATAATCATTCGTCATAAGAATAAATACATGATGGTTACAACTTCATTACAAGATCAATTCATGTAATTCATTTGGATCTCTAATACAAGATGCAAGATTGAGGTCTTAAGGCTTGCATCATTGTTTATTCATCATTCAAAAAATCATTCAAGTATTAGTCAATGTCTTTCCAAATTCAAGTGGAAGATTTTGAATTTCATCAAGACAAATAATGATCCAAAGTGTTTACAATTACAAAGAAATTGAGAGAATTATATTCAAGACAAGTTTCCATTCATGTTACATATAAAGTTAAATTCTAATACCTATTGATATTAATTTCAAAGCTTCAATCTTGCTCCAAAAAAGCCTTGATGTCCAACAATCGAATCAGCCCAATATCATATTGCAGCCCCTACAAACCAGTGCAAAAAAATAGAAGGCTGCTGCCCATTTTTCCAGCTTTGTTTCAATAATAACAATCCAATTTTTGTGGCACTTTTGCTGTCCAAAACAGCAGCCTCCAACAGTCTAAATGCTGCCAAAAATAGCTATAAACTAGTCTTCTACAGCCTGTTGCCCTGCATCATAGCAGCCTAGAGGTTACACCAAAATGGCAACTTAAAATTGAATGAAAAAAGTATCAAAACAGGGCATTCATAACTGTTCAAATCTCTACAATTTTCCCTCTCAATTCCAGTCCACTATGCTTATAAAAGGAGACCAAGACAATAACTTTAAAGGGAGGAAAAATAGGAAAAAGAGAGAAAAATTTATTCAAGAATCACAACAAATAATCAGAGTTAAAGGAGCTTGAGCATCAACAAGAGAGGGAGGGAGAACTCTATTTTTGAAGCTCCATCAGAGAGACTTTGATAGGTATCGCCTTCTTCCCATCATCTCTGAATACTTTTTCTTCATACATTAACATATGTTTGATTTGTTTACACTATATCTCCACTTACATAGCTAATTTTGTATCACTTGCTTTATGATTTCTTGAATTATCTGTTGCATTCAAATTGTTGTAACTAGTAGATATTAAAATGTTAGAGAAAACCAAGAAAAATTAGACAGAAAAAACACATGTCGAACTCACCATTTCAGAAACTGCAACTCCCTCTGTGATACAACTCCAAACCCAGTTCGCTGATGTCCTCATCTCACTCTCATATGTTCTTTCAACTCTGCAAACATCCAACATCATCAAACTGTAACACAAATTTATCTGCTCAAACTCTCATATCACCTGCAAATATATTTATTTTTGGCAACAGTTTAAGTCAAAATAATGGATCTGCTGCTTCAGGCTCTACACTGTCCTCTACATTTCTACATGTGGTTTCAAATAGTCTTACAAGTCAGAATATGTTCAGTACCTCATCCCTTTCCACAAGCCGCAACATCATTAGCGCCACTGTTACTTCCACCATTAGCATGACAACCGACACCTCCGTTGTTAATGCGTCCAACACTAGTTGTTCCTCTACCTGTGTGATGACGTCTTTATCTCCAACAACTTCCCTTTTCAAATTTGGATCCACCCCTTTTCTATCAATAAGTTTACCTGTTTCATCTTCTCACTCAGAACCCGTGGAAACCGAAATAAAACCTACAATTGTATACAAAATTAGCATATCCGTATGTATCAAATACACACCTAGAAGCCTCTTAGCAAACAGAATTGACAAAAGGGAAATTCTCAGTCCATACCTCCGCCCATCTAACCTCTCAACCTGCACCTGCGCTTCACTACTTCTGCGCACAACTAATTCACAATCTTCTTGCTTCCGTAACCCATCACCTTCTCACACCACTCCCTCCATCACATAAAACAATGCCTTCTTCCTCTTATCTCATCAACGGTGCGGTACCTTCTTCTACTTCATAATCTCCAGATGCCGCCACACATTTTCTTTTTCCATCATCACACTTCAATCCACCGCGAACGCACAAGCAAAACACACTTTGGCTCGTGCTCATCTGTTTCAAATTCCCTCAGTTTCATCTATTTTCCTTGTTTCTCTCAAGACTCCAAACCGTACGTGAACCTTAGATCTACGAGAAATGGAATAAGATAAATAAAAAAGGAGAATCAAAGCTTACTGGCCATAGATGCTCTACGGACCTTGAATTCTTGATGACGATGGTCAGAAGTCCAGAGGTGAGATTCCAACGGCTCAGGTGTGTTGTTGCTGCGTTTCTGTGTCAGAGATGCGATGAGGTAGAGGCTATGCGATTATGAGCAGACACAGGAAAGAGAGTGAAGATGCGATGAAGCAGATGAAGATGAAGATTATACAGAGTTTAAGATTGATGAAGCAGATGAGAGAGAGGATTGTATATTTTGTTTTAACTTTCCTGTTAATTGTTTTTTATTGGAAACAATAATAATAATTAATCTACATAATTTCCCTGCCCAATCATAACAACAAAATCCAGCGGCGCCTTTCTCTCTTTTAGGGTTAAAAACCTTCTTTGTTCACTTTCCAAACTGGGTCGTCCCCAATGGGCCTGTTGGCCCAATCACATTATCATCTTCACCTTTTATTTTAATTAAAGCATAAATATAACAGATAAATAACAATATTTCAGTGGCAAGGAAAGTTTGTTTCAACCTAAGGGACCCGAGTTCTACCCCTTGCTGGGGAATTTTATTTTGTTTTTTAGTTCTTTAACCCTATTTCCCAATTCTATTAAATATATGATAACAAATATTAGTTTAGTTTATTTTATATATATAATTATTTTTTGCCATTATAAAATACAAAAAAAATACATGCTTTATAAATTAGTCTTTTATTTAATTTTGTTATTTATTTAATTATTCAAAAATACATGTTAGTATAAATTAGTCTCTTATTGAATTTTTATTATTTATTTAATTATTCAATTTTCGCTCTAATTAACTTTATTCTCGACCATTTAATCTCTATATCTTTCGTTCGTCTAAAATCCATGGGAAATGTTTTAACTTTGTTAACTTCATGTCATCAAATATATCTGTAATACGATTGTGCGAATCCCGTCATTCATTTTTGTTTTACTATTATGTTAATCTTAAGTTAATTTTTCTAAAATAATCAATTTTAAAACTCACACCCCTTTTTAAGTCAAAACTTCGACACTAGTTCGTCGTATCTTCAAAATCTCATCCACACCCATTTTGACCAAACAAATAATTTTAACCAAAAAAACAGATATTTCAAAAGGTTCCTGTGGAGTATCGTAAATGCATAGGGTGCTAGTACCTTCCCATTGTATAACCAACCCCCGAACCTTCGATCTCTTTCAAAAACGTATTGTATTTTCATTACTTTTTAATTATTACTTTACATTGTATATTTAAGGGTTTTATTTTGCTCTTTTCCCTTTTCCCTTGGAAATAATAAAGCGGGTGGCGACTCTTGCTTTTACGAGTCAAGTTAATTAATAGCTCCATCTCCGATTTACACCGCTACATTTTTTATCGCTACAGTATGTGCTCAAAAGTGATCTCCTCGAAGTATGGAATTAAGGTCAGTACATGCTCTCGGTATGGAATGAGATTTGGGTTTTTCGTATCCCATTCTCCCTTAGCCTGACTGATTACTAGAGCTGAATCCCCATATACTCTCAAGAACTTGATTCTCATATCGATAGCAGCTTTAATACCCATGATACACGCTTCGTACTCAGCCATATTGTTGGTGCAGTCAAAGCAAAGTCTGGCAGTGAAGGGTGTATGGAAACCTTGAGGAGAGATAATTACAACACCAATTTCGTTTCCAAGAGAGTTAGAAGCTCCATCGAAAACCATAGTCCAACGGGATCCTGATTCGGGTCCTACATATGATCCAAGTTCTTCACAATTTGTAACTAGCATAATGTTCTCGTCCGGGAATTCAAAATTCATAGACTGGTAGTCGTCTATAGCTTGATGAGTCAGATGATCTGCCAGTACACTTCCTTTGATTACCTTTTGAGTGGTGTACTGAATTTTATATTCTTTTAGGATCATTTTCCATCGGGCTATTCTTCCAGAGAGAGCTAGCTTCTCAAATATGTATTTGATGGGATCCATTTTAGAGATTAATAGAGTAGTATGAGTTAACATAAACTGTCTTAGTCGGAGAGCAGCCCATGCTAAAGTGCAAAAAGTTTTCTCGAGTAGTGAATATCTTATTTCACAGTCGGTAAACTTTTTGCTAAGGTAGTATATTGCATGCTCTTTTCGACCAGACTCGTCATGTTTCCCCAGTACACACCCCATTGAAATCTCTAGCACCGTTAGGTACACGATTAGATGTCTTCCTCCAACTAGTGGCATCAGAATTGAAGGTTCTTGTAAGTACTCCTTGATTTTATCAAAGGATATTTGACAGTCATCGTTCCACTTTACTACTTGATCTTTCTTTAGCAGCTTGAAGATTGGCTCACAGGTAGCCGTCAAATAAGAAATGAACCGGGTAATGTAATTAAGTCGTCCTAAGAAACTTCTAACTTCCTTCTTAGTATGGGGAACCGACATTTCTTGAATAGCTTTAACTTTTGCGGGATCAACTTCAATACCTTTACCACTGACGACGAAACCTAGGAGTTTTCCAGACCTCACCCCAAAGGTGCATTTGTTTGGATTCAACCTCAGCTTGTATTTCTTCAATCTTTCAAACAATTTATGCAGATGATCAAGATGTTCTTCTTCAGTCTGTGATCTGGCTATCATATCACCGACATAGACCTCTATCTCGTGATGAATCATGTCATGAAATAATGCTACATTGGGATGTTGGTATGTGGCACCTGTGTTCTTCAACCCAAAAGGCATAACCTTATAGCAGAAAGTTCCCCACTGTGTGACAAAAGTTATTTTTCTCCATATCTTCGGGTGCCATCTTGATCTGATTATACACTGAGAAACCATCCATGAAATAGAATACCTTGTGCTGAGCGGTGTTGTCGACCAAAACATCAATATGTGGAAGTGGGAAGTCACCTTTTGGGATTGCCTTGTTCAGATCCCTGTAGCCTACACACATACACACGTTGCTGTCTTTCTTTGGTACCCGAACAACATTTGCAACCAATTGAGGATATGACGTCACTGCTAAGAAACCTGCATTAAATTGTTTCATAACCTCAACCTTGATTTTCCGTGACATCTCAGGATGCATGCAACGAACCTTCTATTTAATTGGAGAACAACCGTCTTTCATCGGCAGACGGTGAACCATAATATCAGTATCGAGCCCTAGCTTGTCTTTGTATGACCAAGAAAATATCTCAACATAGTTGTGCAACATCTGAATCAATCTGTTCTTGACACTGCCCTCTAAGTTGGTGCCTATCTTGACCTCTTTTCTTTCTGTCTCAGAACCCATGTTTACCACTTCGATCGACTCTTCGTGCGGTTGGATAACTTTTTCTTCTTGTATTAAGAGTCTGGCAAGTTCTCCAGGTATTTCATAATCTTCCTCACCTTCTTCCTCACCTTCTTCCTCGGCTTAGTAGATCGTATTTTCAAAGTCATAAGTGGCAATAGCAGAATCGTTATCATCGAGATCCAGAGTGGATGTGGATTTACAATGTAGTGTATGGGTGTGTGTAAGAACACATATCTATTCGAAAGTGCAATAAGGTAAAAGAAAAACAGAGAGCGCAAAATTTGAATGCAAATCATCCAATATTTTTTATTAAATGATAATATGACTTATGGAATGACAAACCTTAACAAATGAACCACTATGTCCCGGGTAAGACACAAGGTTTAAAGTCATTGTTTATTACATAACCAAAATCTTTTAAAAGTAATAAGACATCAATGTAACTATTAATCCTGACTAAAGGAAATATGGATAGTGTCTTCTACTTTCCAATTGTCGGGTTCGTTGCCAATGGTAGGGAATATCCAATTGTTGAAGTCATAATCATTGTCAGCATCCTCTATAGTGTTGGCTCTGTCATTTCTGATACGGAATGGAGGTCCTCCAACACGAGCGCGATGAATAACTCTTTGTCCTTCTGCAGTAAATGCCAAACCAAACTTATCAGATTTATAGAGGATATCAGGAAGCTAACCCCAAATAATGCAACCACCTTCTTCTATAGTAGCTTTGGAATCCTTCAAGGAAGCCATATTGTGCGGAACCCTAGTTGTCTTTGGAATGGAAGAAACATCTTTAATAGCAGTAGGGGAAATTACTTCAAAATTTTAGCAGGGAGTCTTGATGAATTCCCCGTCCATCTCCACGTACGAGAATGAGTTTAGGTGGCTGACCATGTACTCCTCTTCTCCGCAGATAGTAACAATCTTCCCTTGCATATGATACTTTAGTTTCTGGTGTAAGGTGGAGGTAACAACGCCTGCCCCATGGATCCATGGGTGTCCTTATAGACAAGAATAAGCTGGCCAGATGTCTATTACATAGAAGGTGGATTCAAAGATCTGTGAATCCACTTTGATAGGAAGATCCCCTTCTCCATGTACCATTCTTTTGGACCCGTCAGAGGCTCAAACTATAATGTCACTGGGTTTCAGCATAACCCCTTCACAATCCAGTCTATCAAGAGCGCCCTTTGGTAGAACATTCATGGAAGAGCCAGTATCAACTAACACATGAGCCAACGTAGTGCCCCTGCATTCATTGGAGACATACAGGGCCCTATTATAATTTCTCCCCTCCGGAGTCAGGTCAGCATCGGAGAAGACTAATCCATTATCAATTGTTAAACTAGCTACATAACTTCCAAATTGATCAGCCGAAACCTCTTGCGATATGTGAGCAGTCTTCAAGAATTTTACTAAAGCCTGTGCATGGGCTTCAGAAGACAACAATAAAGATAACATGGATATT